TCCTGAGGACCTGTTTATGTGTGCCAAAGTCTGAAGCTACTGAAGTTCCTTATATAAAATGGATAGTACTTGCATATAATCTCCACACACCCTCCCGGATAACGTGAATCCTCACTGGATTACTTATAATACATCACACAATGAGAATACTTTGCAAATAGTTTTCTACTGTATTATTCAGAGTAGTCATCATCAAAAATGCCTGTACATGTCCAGTGCAGATGCAAATTTCAAACAAACATGTTGGAGATGGGTGTGGAGGTGCACACCTGTAATTTTTGGAGATAGACACAGGGCAACAATCACGAATTTAAGGCGACCGTCAGTCTTCTTTTATTATTTTATTTTTGAACTTGTGTATGTGTGTGTGCTTAGGTGTGGGAACGTACATGTGAGTGCAGTTGATTGAGGAGTCCAGAAGAGTGGAGTCCCCGGAGCTGTAGCTCTAGGTGTGTGTGAGTGTGAGCTGGCTGACACGGTGCTGAGAATAAAACTCCTGTCCTTTGTAAGAATAGTGAGGTCTTAGAATGGCTGAGCTAGCTCCCCAGCTCCCCAGCTCCAGGCTCATAGGCTTGGGCCGCATGAGTCCCTTTCTCAAGAAAACAAAGAAACTAAAATAACTGAATAAGGCCACATTTATTTATTCGTTCTCGACCTGCAGTTGTTTAAACTCACAGATACAGAACTTTAATTTATATAAAGGGTGACTGTACGTGTCTCTTGTTTATATACTGCAAATATATAATTTTGAAAGGAATAATGAGATAAATATAAAACAATGAAGAAAGAGGAACCTGAATAACTGTCTTTGAACTCTTTTCTGAGCCATTTCTCTTCCTTTCCAATTTAGTTTATCAGCCTAATGCTTTTCCCTGTGGCTGTGTTGCTTCTCTTTGGTCCTTTCTCTCTGCATGTTTGTGTGCATGTGATGTCCTTACACATGCATGTGAGCATTCACTTGTCTGTGCATATGTCTGCAGGCCACAGCTGATGTGGGGGTCTTCCTCTGTCCCTCTTCCCACTTACCCACCGGGGCAAGGTCTGTCAGTTGAACCCAGAACTCTCTGATTCAGCTAGTCTGGCTGCCATCTTGCTCCAGCGATCCTCTCTCTTCGAATTCTAAGAGCTGGGATTACTGGAGGGCCACTAAGCCCTGGTCCCCAACACTTTTTTTTCTAATGTTCAGAGTCTGATTCGCTTTCTTGTTAATAAACATCTCTGCCTCCAGATTTCAGAAAGTGAGGGTCTCAAGAAGCAACCTGACCAAGTAAGTGGCTGCTCCTTAGATGGCCCGGAAGTACTCCACGAGTCTTCCTTTTACCCCCAGTGGTGAAGGAGTGGGGAGACCAGGCATTATCGCTGTTTTTCTCCCTGCAGTTTTGTGACAATGTGCTGAAAGGCTTCTGTCTCCTGGCAGAGCCATTGTCTACTCTGTCTCTGAATTATCAACTCCAGAGTGGGGGGTGGCAGTGTCCAACAACACTGCTGGCCCAGGTGAGTTTGTAGAGTGGACTCTACACTTCACAATGAGAATGTCTCACTGGGGAGAGGGAGCCAAGACAAAACTCAACTTAGAGGTTTTAATTTAGTTTGAAGTTCATTTGAGTTGAAGGGAGCTCTCACTGGATCCATTCTTTTGTGTTTTTCTTTTCATTTTTCCCCCCCTATTTCCTTTCTCTTTATTTTTGTGACTTAAAAAGAAAATGCTGAGTGTTGGTTGAGGGGCCATTCTTAAGGCTTTTAGACTCTGTAATTACTCTGCAAAGGGTGTGTATTTGCATGTGACATGCCTTGAGGCTCAAGTTCCCATGCTCAGCATATATGAAGCATTGAAAATCATGTCGCTAATTTTTAGAATAAATTAACTCCACAGAAAATGTTGGCCTTCTCCTTGCCAGGGGTGACAGTGAGTCTCTCCATTGTAAGTTGAGGAAATGGACATGACAGTTAGTGGTTTGCCCAAAGCCACACTGTCATGGGCATCGTGAGGGTGGAAACAGTGGTCTTACTTGTAAGCAAAAGCACTGGTGTTTTCATGTAAGACACTGTGGGCCTTAGTCAAATTGGCCTAAATTAAGATGCAGGGACTAACAAGCCTTTTGGTGTTTGGAAGCGCCTACCACATTAACCACAGAGAGCTGGCTTGTTTCTTCAAGTTACCTGCAGAGGTTTTAAATAGGCCTTGGGGTTGCCCCCCCCCTTTTTTTCTTTTTTGGAGAAGACTTGTTTGCTTAAGATCAAAAGCTGCACATCTGGCAAAATATTGCTGGGAAAATGGAAAAGCGGCTGCCTAGGGCTCACCATGAGAAGGACAACAGTGTCTCAATTTGCAGCAGTCTCTCTCTCTCTCTTAGAGAGAGAGAGAGAGAGATATTATATACACACACACACACACACACACACACACACATATATATATAT